GTTGTGTAGATATGGAATTTACTTGGCACTTGAGTATTGGTTTGACATGGTGGCTGGAGAGCATGGGTTGCCTGACTGGATCCTGTCTTTCCTTCTACTATCATTAGACCTGTGTGAGTTGCCTAACCCTGTTGTGCCTCAATATACCCATCTATAAAGTGGGCATACCACATAGGGCTGTTGTATGGATTGCATGTTGGAAACAGGAGTGCATGGCAAAGCATTATGTTTCCTGCATAAACTACTCCCAGGGTGGAAGATACAGGATGGGTATGCTCTCTGGTGTCTAGTCAGATCTCTATGCCTGTGGGCTCCATATGCATCCATCCAATCAAACCATGCAGAAAAATTATTCAGAAAAGAATTACATCTGTACCGAGCATGTGCACACTTTTCCCTGTCATTGTTCCCTGAACAATGCACACAGCAGCTATGGTAGCATGTAGGTTGCATTAGGTATTACAAGTCATCTGGAGGGAAAGACGTGCGGAGATCACATGGAAATATGATGCCGTTTTAATATCAGGACTTGAGCTTCTGTGGTTTAGGGGACAGTTCTGCTACTGCTAAGTGAAATCATTAGCTCTTTGTCAGTCTCTCAGGCAGCCCAGTAGATCCTCAGTGTTGACATTTACCTAGTAGGCAGCTGGGATCCTAAAGCCCCAACCCATGGTCTAAACCAGAGGGGAGATATGGCACAGCGGGTTCTGGGAGCATCCATACCCTCCTCCCAACACCAGAATTAGGAGACACTGCCTAGCTCTTGCTTTTAATGCCCTGGCATCTTTGGGGGTGAGTAGAGCCAAGGCTGGTAAGAACTGTTTGTTGAAGAATTCAGGGGCATACATATAGCATACGATTTCTTTCCCTGCAACTCCCTGTGTGTGGGAGAATCTTACCAAACGGCAGATTCCTAGGCCTTTGCACCCACCTTCCCCCACCACCATCAGCCAACCTGAGAAATAGCTTGGAGAGTGCCCAGAAGCCTCCTTTTTGTGAGCACTCCAGTATCTCTAGTGAGTGGCTAGAGCAAACTGAGAGGCTGTAGTTGGGGTGCAGCAGGGAGGATTGGGGGGGCTTTATCAATCCTTGTCCTCTCTTTACTTTTGTTCCTTTCCTATAGCAGGTCTCTGGACCCCTTCTGTGTCATGGGGTCCTGTGGGGTGGGGTGGTGGTTCCTGGACACTTGCTCAGTGGACACTTTCCTTGTAGCTGGCTGGGTTGAGCGAGGGGCAGGGAGGTGGCCTTGGCTCGTGGGCTGGGCAGAGCCTGTCAGCTTTGGATGTCAGCTTAGCTGCTGTCTGCATACTTGGCCTTGACCTTGGTCAAGTGCCTATAGTAAAGGGGGCTTAGAAGGGTGCTATGTCCAATGTGGGGCCTTTCTAAAGAATGGAAAAGGCATTTTCCCCCAAGTTCCCTGCACACAACAGATCTCCTCCTCACAGATGGGCTTGCTGTCACACTTATAAAAGACACACAGGTCCCTTTGGCTTTTATGGTCTGGGGTGCCAAAGCCAGTTCACATGGCACCCCATGAAGTCACGGTCAAGGGACCTGAGCTGCAGGCCTCACACGGTCCGACCTTCTTAAAGACCTTGTATTAGAAAAATAAACCTATTAAATAATACTGCCCCCGTAAAGGCAGACTTTTAATGGATTCCACGGTGAGGTGTTCAGTGTGGCGGGCCCTGATGAGCTGGTCTGCTGCCATGGGGGGAGTTCAATCTTGCATGGCGTGGACATAATTTCACAAGTTTTATGGCTATTTCTCTCCTTCGAAGTGTTGCTATGCCATTGTGCATGAAGGAAAACTTGCGTGCCTTTAACAGTTTACCTCCTTTTGGTGGAAATGAAAAATAAAGTCATAAATTAAAGAAAAACAAATAGTAGAGCCCCCCCTCCCACACACTTTCTTGGGGGCAACTATGGAGGAACAAAGATCTAGTGTTTGGACAGCCTAATCAAATTCTAATGGCTTTTATGTGTTGACATTTGCTCAAGGATCCCTCCTCCCATGGGAAGGTGGCTGGACTTGCAGGGTATGTGTAGAGTTTGTATTGGAGCCCTGGGCTCCAGGGCAAGGGTCAGTAGACTTGGGCTTCCGGGCAGGGAGGAGGGCATCGAATCCCACCTTTTGCCTATTTTTGTTACACAGTTAAAACAAAACGAGAGCAGCATTTTCTGACAAGCGAAGGTTCAGTGAGCTTCAGGTCTCCTCTGCACATGACGCTTGCTGGCACACCACCACTCCCACAGTTCCCTGTTGTCGGTTGCTCTTTTGACCCCATGATGGCACAAAGCTAAGTGCCACTTGCCTGTTCCAGAACAAGCTTACCAAGCTTGCCCCAGGAAGCGAAGGTAAAGAAGAGAGGAAGCATGGCCTCAGTTTCCCAGAATGGATGCTTTCTTTTCAGGGACTCTGCAAGGCTCAGGGGAACAAGTCAAAGGAAACTTCACTTGGAGACCTTCCAGAAGTTACCTGCTGCTTATGCAAATGAGTCCTTGCTTTTTCTTTTGTGTGTGCATGTGTGTGCGTGTGTCTCTCTGTGTGTGTGTGTGTGTGTGTGTGTGTGTGTGTGCAAGGGCAGGCCAGAGGTTCTCTATCACCTTATTTTTTAAGACAGTCTCTCATTGATCCCGAAGCTCACTAACTTGGCTAGACTCACTGGCCAGCAAGTCCCAGGGACTCTAGTTTTCACCTCCGTAGCGCTCAGATTACAGACACCTGATGCCATGCCTGTCTTTTTATCTTTTTATCTGGGTGCCAGGATTTTGAGCTTGGGTCCTCATGCTTGCATGGCGAGCACTTTACTGATCCATCTCTCCAGAGTCTCCCCTCTTCTAACCTCAGGTGACTTCTGAACAGCAGCCTGCATTTAGTGCCCTTCTGCCAGCCCTCAGGCTTTTGATCATACCTTGACGGAGGTGGGATCAACTCCCGCTCAGCCTACTTGTGAGCACAAGTAGAGAGACTTCCTCCAAGGGGCAAGGCGACTTTGGTTATAGATTGTTACCTGCAAATCTAGTGTGTCATGTAGAATAGCTCCAGAAACTTCTAACCTGGCTATTTGCCAAGGACATTTTAAGCAGTCTGCACATAGTAATAATTCATTTAGTCCTCACAGGCAACTCAGAGAGTCGATGCTCTTTTCTGTTCCCTTTTACAGGTGAAGAAGCAGGCACACAGAGAGGGTAGGCAGTTTGTCTAAGGTCACACAGCTGGAATGTGGTTAGAGTCATGATTTAAACTCAGGCTGTCTGTTCCAGGGAATGAGGGAATATTCCTCTCTGCACTGTACTGTCACTGTGTACCAGTGAGTTTTCTAGGCTTCTAGAAGACTCTGTTCTGCTTCTTCTACCCCTGCATTTTAAGATGCTACTCCATAAGAAAGCACTTGATTGAACAAAGTGTGTGTTCATCCGCTCCTCTTCCCCTCCTCCTCTCCCTCCTTTTGCCCTAGGCCTGTGGCTAGAAGTTGGACAGCGTGTGGAGGTGCATGGATTGGGGTTGTTTTATGAGCATGAAGAATGAAGACCAAGGTTCACCCCTATTGACAAGGATCCTTGGTGGGGGGAGGAGTTCTTCTAATTCTTTTGCATTGATTATAAGTACCAGATTTAAACTCAGGCTGTCTGTTCCAGGGAATGAGGGAATATTCCTCTCTGCACTGTACTGTCACTGTGTACCAGTGAGTTTTCTAGGCTTCTAGAAGACTCTGTTCTGCTTCTTCTACCCCTGCATTTTAAGATGCTACTCCATAAGAAAGCACTTGATTGAACAAAGTGTGTGTTCATCCGCTCCTCTTCCCCTCCTCCTCTCCCTCCTTCTGCCCTAGGCCTGTGGCTAGAAGTTGGACAGCGTGTGGAGGTGCATGGATTGGGGTTGTTTTATGAGCATGAAGAATGAAGACCAAGGTTCACCCCTATTGACAAGGATCCTTGGTGGGGGGAGGAGTTCTTCTAATTCTTTTGCATTGATTATAAGTACCATTTTTTTTCTAGACTCACAAACCTTCATCCTTTCTGTCTCAAGTTGATATTTTAATGAAAAGATAATATGGATGGTAGAAGACTTAGGAGAGGCAAGGCTTTTGACTTTCCAGTGGAGAAGCCCCTAGTAAAGGGCCTGCCCCTTTACTCAGTAGCCCAGGTCCCAGGCATGGGTGGGATAGGTCGTTGATGGGTCTGCGGAATCCTTCAGACTCCTGAAGTAGTCATCACTGTATAATGAGGACGCAGTCAGCCTCAGGCAGTGAATTTTGTATGGAGATGAAAAGTTCTTATTGCCTGGTGACATTATAGCCATGGAAATGTCACAGTTGTTGCCACAAGGTGCTCCTGGGTCTGTGGCGACACGGGTGTTAAGCACATATACTGTGCAAGCCTATACAAGCACAGTGCATCCCATCACGTATGTGATATAGCACTGGGCCATGTGAATGGCTGCAATACTGATTTGTATTTACTTTCTGTGCTTTTTAGCATCACATTAGACATTCCTCCTTCTAAAGATGCTGTAAAAGTCTTCAGTGTCGTACTTGCTCAGTGTGTATGAGAAGTCTCTGTGATGGTCTCACAGTGACAGTATCACTTCATGATGCAGTTCTCAGACTGCATGCCTGTTGCTAGGCGATGTGGGACTGTTTCTCCATGCCCCGAGCCAGCAACAGTTGATTCTTTAGGCAGCTTGACTGACAGTGCCTTCTGGAAGTGGCTGTATTTTAGTGAGCTTTAGATGCCTGTCTTGTTTTCTTACATGCTTGTGGGACACATTTTTAGTATGGTGTGTGTCCTTGGGGTCTGGAGGCCTGAAATGTTGTGGGAGGACCCACGGCAGCTGCGTGGCTGCGTCCAGGGCTAGTGGTGGGAGTCTTTCTTTGCTGGAAGCCAGTCTAAGCCTCCTTGGAACCTGCTTTTTCTTCCCTCCCAAATGCCTTTTTCTTTGTCACACAAAAACCTTTGCCACTCTTTTCTGATGAACTCTGCTTTCTTTTCCTCAGTCATGCGGAGGAATCCCTTTGGTGTGGACATTTGCTGCCGGAAGGGGTCTCGAAGTCCACTGCAGGAACTCTACAACCCCATCCAGGTAAGACCCTGGACGGACCTCTTTACAGGATGTTCTGAGGGTTCGAAGTGTCTCTACTTCCTGATGTTTTATTTCAGTTTTTACTTTTTTCATCTTCCTTTTCTAGACATGTTGAGCATCCCTAACCCAAAATTCAAAACCTTCTGAGCAGCAACATGACCCAACAAGTGGAAAGTTCTACATTTAACTTTCCATGATGGGTTGCAATCAAAATGCAGGTGCATAGAAATATTGTATGAAATTACCTTCAGGCTCTGTGTGTAAGATACATACAAAGCTATGTATAAGATACATACAGAGCATAAATGAGTTTCATGTTAGACTTGAGTCCTATCTCTAAGATTGCTTATTACATATATACAGATATTCTAAAAATTGGCGGGGAGGAATCCCAAATCTGAACCATTTCAGTTCCAGGCATTTTGGATAAGGGTTACTCAAACTGTGTGTAACATTTTTAAAATTCTAGCAAAACATGTTTAGAGAGGTGCAGAGGAATCGTGATGAACTGCACTTTTGGCCTGCCAAAGGTGTGAGCCCCTGAGGTCACGTTGCCCCAGGTCCTAAGCAATGGGACTCTGAGCTTGAAGAGCCGGCAAGGTCATGCAGCCTCCCGCAGAAAGGCATGTGCACAGGTGAACTCTCCACCCAAGTTCTACATGGGATTATGGAAGCCTGGTGATGCCCTACAAGCTGTGCCTCACTACAGGAATTTGGCAAGACTCTTGTTGGGGGTGTAGATGCTAAGTGACTGTCACTGTCATCCTGACTCATTAGTTTAACAAGGTGGCAAGCTTGGTATCTTCGCTGTTGGTTATGAAAAGAGCTCCTGCTAGAAAGGTAGAAAAAGCTTGACACAAGTTTGCCTTACATGGAAAGCCATGAACAGTTAAGAGGCCTGATCACCATAGCAACAGCCTCAGGGTATTTGGGTCTTGATGTAGAGACTCTGGGCTGGTTCCTCTATAGGAACATTAGTTAGCCGATTGTATCGAGTGCTGGTGAGTAAGCAAATAAACCAATCTCAACCTACCTTAAATAGGTGCCAAGAAATGGGTGTGTGCTGGGTTGTGCTGCCCCAACCGTAGTCTCTGGGCCTTATTTTGTGTTGGATTCTTAATTTCATATTTCCATGGACATGGTATGAGATGGAAGAAGGTGATGCTTGGGCTCCACAGATGACAAATTCACCCCTGCAAAGGTGTGACCCTAAGAACTTCCTTGCCCCATCTGATCTCTCTTGCTTATCACCTGTGCCTTCTTCTGAAAAGAATGGACTCTTGAGTCTAGGCACCCTGGGAAACCTAATGGTGTTTGCTGATGCTCTGTCCCTCACTTGCCATGGGACTCCACGTCTGACTTGGCCAGAGCAAACTGGTGATGGCAAGTTCTGTGTCTCCTGAGGCATCCTCTGCTGACCTCTGCAGTGACTTGGCAGGGCACTTGACGTTCAATTTCCCTTTGGTGCCCAAGTGATCTGGCCATTATGGGAAAGCCTCCCAGCCTGTCTACACCCCCATCTTCATGAAAAGGTCTAATCAGGTTTTAACCACACATGGGTTTTCTGGTATACCGTGTTGAAAGTCACCCAGGCCACTCTGTCCCAAACCATCCCTCTCTCTGTGGACAGCCTATGTTCATAGTGATACGGGATGTCGTGGCAGAGCCATTTCTGCTGCAGCTGACCCTCTGGATAGAGAGTCCATAAACTGTGTCTTGTCCACCATTTATCCCAGTGCCTTACACAAGGCCTAGTTGAGAGCAGGGTCTCTCAAATATTTGTGAGTTTTGAAAGTGAAATCGGGGTTCAAATTCCTACTTCCCCTCTATCTAGTTGTGCAAGATGGACCTCATGACAAGTCCTTGCTAGGTGTCAGTTTCTCATCTAATCACCCCTCTGGAATGTTGGGAAGGTCATTCTGATGAGTCAGGGGCTGTGCAAGTGTGATTTGTCATTTTTATATTCATAAAAGTCACCTTGACTTCAGAGTCAGACCTGGGGTGGAAACCTGGTGGTATTGTCTCCTAAGTGTGTGGCTTTGGACAGGCTACAGAACCTATCTGACATTGCTGACTCTTGTTTATAATATGGTGACTAATACCACCTGCAGGTTGCATGTGTGACATGGTGGCCTGTCGTGCCAGCTGCTTGCTATAGTTTGTATCTTCCTGGTTTATCCACTCATTGATGCCCTGACTTTTTACCCACTATTATACCTGCCAGGCACTGGGCATAGAGAGTGGTGGGGCCAATAGTAGCCATCTGTGTCTGTCACTTTTCTGCCCGTGGCTGGTATGCATGAATGACCTGGTGAGGTGGACTCTGTACGGTATTTTGGCAGACTAATCAGAGGAGAGGCAACCCTCCTGGGTAGAGATAACCCCATCCTCATGGTGAGTGGTGTGTGTGTGAGAGAGGTATGTTGGCCCTGGCGTAGACCTTGAGCAGACAGGAATGGCTAGGAGGCAGCCCTGGGGAGGACCATAGATAGGTGAGTCACCATCCTTTTTCAAGGATGTCTTAGGCACACTGTCCAGCCCCGCCATCCCATCAGGCAAACATGGCTATAGGAAGATCACCCGTTTCCTGAGGATGTAGCCGTGAATGTTTTTTCTGGGACTAGCTTCCTTGACAATCAGCAATTATGTCTCATTCCCACACAAAGTCCTTAAGCAGTGCTTTGTTTTTTTGGAGAAGCTGCCCTGGGCAGTGGTGGGCTGGGGAAGGGAGCAAGTGTTCTGATGAGCATTGCCTTCCTGAGTCATCTCCAGGCTTAGCTCTCGATTGAGCTCCCCCTGCACTTTCCCATATTTTCCTACCAGCTAAGCTGTTGAAGCTGCCAAGCCCAAAATGATGTTGTCAATGAGACAAGTAACAAACTGTCTGGTTGCTCCAAACCAGAGTGCTCCCAGAAAGGGCGTTTGCATCTTCTCTGCTGATTGGATATTGTTTGATCTAAGATGGTGAAAACAGGGACCATTTATTTTCTATGACAAGAAGCCTGCCTTTTGGCCAGAGGATACCATCTTCATTACCTCAGACTCACACCTTACGCCAGATACTTTCTGGATCTTGGAATCCTGTTATCAAGATCTGCACAGTGAGCCCTATCGCTTCCCTCTTATGGATAGGGAATTGATGCTAATGATTTTATATGGTTTATTCAGAACCTCTCAGTGTTGGGCGTGGTAGCACACATCTTTAAAACAGGTGGATCTCTGTGAGATCAAGGTCAGCCTGGTCTACATAGTAAGTTCCAGGCCAGCTGGGGCTACAAGAGACCTTGTCTCGAAAAAACAAATCAACAAACAAACAAAAACCCCCAAACACCAAAATCTGTCAGTTAGTAGGAAGCAGTGAGGATTCAGTCACAGGAAAAACTACCAATCCAGGTATATTACTCATAGTTTCTAGTTTCTGGTACTAGTGCCATTGCCAGCAAATTTTTCTCAGCAGGAATTACCCCATTCCTCCTCAAGATAGCTGTAAAACCAACCAGAATCTCATTGGGCGAAAGCATAAGTCACTCTTGGGACAGTTGGCTCTAATCTGACTTTCAAGTCCAGGGCTGTCTCATTTTAATGCACTGAAAACTCCAAACTTTCCAAACAATTGGTTAAGGAAAAAAAAAATCTCTTTGTAGTCGATATTCTTAGCAAACTGCACTGTGATGTCTTATAATTTTCCCAGTTCTCTGCTCTCTCCCTGGCCCCAAAATAAAACATAATTGCCTGTCGGATCAGCTGGTGCCGAGTCACCAAAAGTTCAGGAGTTGCCAACCACATGTTTGTGGGCCGAGCCATCTGCAGGCCGCCCAGGCTCAGAGCAGAGCCACAGGGTAAGTGTCGCTGTCAGCCGGTAAGCGGGCGTAGTTGTCCCTGAATGCCAGTGAGGGCGAGACAGCTTGTCCTCCTGCCTCGCCCACCTCCCAGCCTCTCGTGGGTTCCCTGAAGTCTTGGCAACTTCACTCATGTGGTTGGGCCCTGCCCCAGCTACTTTCTTTAGCGTGTGTGCTTGCTCTGTGATTAGCGTGTTCTGAGGGGCAAGATGCTTGGCTCAGAGCTGACCGTAAACTTGCCAACAGCACAGCTAGATCTGCACACGACACAGTGGCTCTTATGGGCCACCAGCTTTCAAGGGCCCCTGGGTCCCAGTGTTTAGGAGGCCAGGAATATTCTGGGTAACCTGTTGGAGAGGAAAAGTGGGGTCATGGGATGCTGAATATGACTGGAACCTTAGGGTCACCCCATTACCTCTATTATGTGACAGTCTTATAGTGTGCCAAAGTGAACCTTCATCTCCACCAGGGGTGACATAGGATTAAAGAAGAGAGGAAGGGAAGAAGGAAAAGGGAAAGGAGTTGGATAGGCAGAAGCCTGTTCAGTGAATGTGTGATATACATCTGTGACTCTTTAAGCATTTTCCAAACATGTCTCATTGATACTGCTGTCTGCTGGAAATGGAACAGAAAGCTCGATGCGTGCTCAGCAGCCACCCTCCCTGCCACCTACAACCTCTCCTTGAACCTTTACAATACCCTCAGGTGAAGGTCTCTGATAACCCCATTGTGGTGGTTTGAGTAAGTGTTCCCCCATAGTCTCCAAGTATTTGAAATTTCATGTATTATTTTTATTTTATGTGTACGAGTAAATTGCTGCATATGTGTAAGTGCGCCCGTGTTGTGCAATGCCCACAGAGGTCAGAAGAAGATAGCAGATCCCCTGATGATCAGATCCCCTGGAAGTGGAGCTACACATGGTTGTTAACCACCGTGTAGGTGCTGGGAATGGAACCTGGGTCCTCTTCGAGAGCAGTCAGTGCTCTTAACCACTGAGCCACCTCTCCAGCTCCTATCTCCAAGTATTTGAATGTTTGGTCAGTTGGTGGTGCTCTTTGCAGAGGTTCAGGAGGTGTGGCCTTACTGGAAGAAGCATGTCACTGGGGTGGGTTTTAGCCTTGCCCATTTCCAGTTCGCCTGCTCTGCTTCCTGGGCCTGAAG